GGTTGTATATGTGTGTGATAATTATGCATACTGTGATACCGGTTCGCAATTACTATTAAGGTCACAAACCTAGTCAAGCTAAATACACGAATTTTGTCCATGCACCTTTCATCTGCACTGGAACAGTTGTTCATAAAAAATAAACTTCAGTTTAGAAATTTATTCTTGTAACCATAAGCAGGGTATCTCTTTATCACACAAATCAAATTGCCATTGTTCTGTTCCATTCTGGACAATAGGGGACCCTCTCAGCAGAACTCGATTAACTGCTATAGTTCATTTTAACCATTGACAGCGACATTACACTGAAGCGTACAGCATGACAAATAGCGGGAGAGAAGACACAAACTAATCACTCTGTTTGCGTCAGCTCTAACTGTCCGTGCTCTTTGATCTTGCTGCATGTGATGATGCTCACTAAATTAGCACGAAAGCGTGTCCCTACAAAGGCAGTCAACTTGGCTGCAAGCAGTTAGCTCACTGCATGTGTAGATTTTCTTCAAAACACCGTGAAGACTGATTGCTGGTCGAATATCCAAACACGTGAAAAGTAATATAGCAGGTATGATATTGGTATTTCAGCACTGGACACATTTGCGATAAGAAAGGATGGAGAAGAAAATTATGAACCCTGAATTGTTTAATTTTTGAAGGAGCACAGTACAGCGCTTTTGGGTCAAAACGAGAGTGAAAGAAGCAAGTGCGAAAGCCTACTTCTCAAAAAATTAGTACCCGCCACCACGCATAATGTCAGGCCGGGCAACCTGTTGAAAAAAAAAAGTGCTCAGTGATTCTGCGAATCGAACCAAGTACCTCCCAGATTGTAGTTGAGCGCTGTAACCGCTCGTCCACTGCAGCAGTGCTTGCGTTCGCCCTATTGCTGATATATCGTCATTCCTTCGAATGAAGCCAAATGCAAAAACGTCTGGTGAAACTTTGTCAAAAATAGAAAAAATAGTTAGAATGCGTTTGCCCAAGGTTACTAGAAGATAGAAACCGCCATGTGTGACTGTATAACCGTGCGCTATTTATTCTTGTACATTACTGTCATGACGTTGGGATAGCCGGCTCTAACGTAGGCTACCTTCTCATAGTTTGCCAAATATAAATAAGAAAATAAAAATATATATCGGCCTGTGACAACGCTAATAAACTATTATGAGTTCACTGTCACTAGTGTCACTTTCACTAGATGAATGCTCAGTTTGCTTCCATTATCGTTATTTAGGAAAGTTTTGGCTCATTAACTCAACTCTCCTAATTAGCATTGATTCTCACATCTAAGGACATTCACACTTCATCTCGCTTTCTGAGTGGCTGTCACTCCCATATAACGCGTACTCCACTTTTTTATGCTCTCCGAGCATCTCACGCTGCTTTGCGGAGACTTTCCCTGACGTCTGCTGGGCCAGAAAATTGACTTTATTATCTATCAATTTCAAGCTTTCGCGAAGCCGAAACGAGAGGCTCTCTCTCTCTCTCTCTCTTTTCATCCTTTACGCACGTGTGATAACGTCTCTCGACCTCAAGACTCGTATACACGTCCCTTGCTTTGTTTGCGCACTCAAACAACGCTGGACGAAATATTTGCACCGTGTTTTGTGAAAAGCATTAGCACTGAGACACCTCCCGACGAGTCTCCCTCATTTTACGTAGACATATACCTAAGCGTAAGCGTATGCACGTTCTCGTATTCTGGCTTTATAAAAATGCTGCGGTGCATGGAACCAGAGAAATTGCACTCACAATTTCATTTGATTACTGCTGTTATCTATTTCCGCACAATTCGTCTGCAGGCACCATAGTCGCGCATGTGTCTTGTAATCAGAATATTGTAACAAAGGCTTCTTTTGACTATAGGTACAAAACACCCTTACGTTCACCACTATACCGTGCTAGATTGCACCGAATTAGTTAAGTAGCAGCGCAGCTTCAATGAAATGTAAGGTAACTGGTCACGTTAAATAGGGGAAGACATTCGAGGCACATTTTCAAACATTGCATGCATCGATTTATGTGTGGTTTCATTTATGTGGTCCACCTGGAATGTTGTTTACTTGTACTTGGCGAGATAGTGCATGGATTGCTCGGTGGCTTAAGGCCATAAAGCAATTATTTTTTTAGCTACAGTCGTTGATTAAAGGCGAGTGCTTGGCTTTGCACAGCCCACCAAAACGTCTATTACAACGTACGGGGCATCCCGTAAGCGGTGTAGCAGACGCTCGCGGAACTGAAACTTAGATGCAGCAAATCATCGGCTATCGTCGCATACTCTCGATGCTAGACGCTTGCGTGCTACCTTGATATTATCGACACACACTTCTTTCTTTCCTTGTCGTTTCATCGGCTATCGTGTGTCCTCCTTGCCCTCTCAAGTGCCGAATAAGTTAAATTCATACCCACGCTATAGTAATCCCTCCAGATAAGAGAATTTTTGGCTAAGAAAATGCGTAGCCAAAGAGAAAGCTTTGTGAATTCGGCCCCGAATGCTAAAAAGAAAGCTATATATGGCTTTAGAGTTCCGAATGGTTAAAACGACATTAGCAGCGTCTTAAAATAATAATCCGAGGACCATTTCATAAGCATCGTAAGTATAGAGATTTAGGGTTGTAAACTAATAAAAACAAGAATGAAATATATTTTCTCCGATGAAAGACGTATTTTAAAGCACGTTTGATGTACATATTTATCTATCAAGCCCTTTTTTGTATAAAGGGGAGTTTTCGCGGATTTGGCGTTTCGAAATAAAGACTACAATCAAGGAGTTACACTCACCTTAAGCATAGTGATGCGAGGGCTTTACCAAAAGTAAGATTCCCATAATTTTTATAAATGTAGCATATTCTTTATTGTTAATATTGATAGCAAAACGGAGAGGCCAGCAAGTTGGTACTGATTCATAACAACGTAAATGTAGCGCGAAAAAAACATGGACAAGAAAGGGAACACAACAAGCGCTTACTCACAACTGGAAGCTTTATTGCTTGAAGCGAAAACATATAACACTTACACTAGGTTCCCAACAAAATCCCGCGCATGCGCATCGTGGGCAAAACAAAAGGTATTAACCAATAAAAATCAAGAACACACCTCAAGAACACACCTCAAGAAAAATCAAGAACACCCCCTTTCCATGAGTCGCGCCAATTCCTTGTCCGATAAGGACAAAGAAGGATCGCTAACGCACATGGAAGCACTCGCGTCAATGTGGTACTATTTTATACACCTTTGCAAAGCTTACAGTTTAATGCATTTGTCAATATTGTTTCCATCTTTTCGACGCACTTTAGAAGACGGCGCCCCCGCTTTTGTGTTCCTAAGTCAAAGAAGTCTGCCACCAGCGCACTAAGGAAGAATGTGAGCTCTGCTCGGACTTCGGCAGCGCTCTTGAAGGGTGGTGGTGGTTAACCAGAATGACGCCACAGACGAGGTTACTGCTTTGTTTCGGGAGTGTAATGAAACACCCACAGTTCATCTCCCGTGACGATGAAGTCCAACAAGTTCGCTTTGTTACCTTTCTGTAATAAGAAGAAGTTGCCTTCGTGTGCCATTTCCGAACGTGCTCAACGGGCATGCTCTCTTCATCGTAAACCTGAATCATTTGCCTATAAATATCGATGAAGGGTAGTATTCTTGCGTAGAAAAAACCTGTTACAGCACGAACCTCGCACTTGTAGGGAGCGGCGATCAACAATTCTACCTGTGACGGCTGCCAAGCAAACATTGAGCGATGTAGCGAATATCATATGCTGCGGTCAAGAGAGAGCAAGCCACTATTCAAGGCACTGTTGTTAAATTTAACGTAGCACCTTCCATTGAAGCTGTAGCTCATTGGAAACCTTACATTTGGTACAACCATCGTAGAACAAGGCAGGTGACCAAGCGCATGGGTTTACCAATGTCCAGCGCGTGTCACGAAGTGTCTAGTGTTACCGCGACTTTTCTTCATGGGGGCAGCAGGGTATATGTATGCCAATTTTCATGCTCCTGGCCGTTTGAATGTACGTAGCAGGTATGTGTAGTCAGCACATAAACTGATTGAATTTTTACATCTCTGGCTTTCGACTAATACCTTCGCGGTGCAGTGCCGTAGACCAGAGAGCTATTTAAAATGTTGCCGTTGTTTAGAACAGGCTTTTCGCAGCCATTTGCGCTTGCGTTGAAAAAGAACCAACACTTGGTCTGGTTAATCGAATTCCATGTGAAATTCCATGTTACGCCTGCAGTACGTCTGTCACAAACAATAGAAGACGACACTCTACGTGTGTCTCGCGCCTTCAGGTGAGTGTACAATTTTGTGCACGTCAGTTTAGAGCTTCATTTTTTCATACTAGTGGATACAGACTCGTTCTGAAAAACGTACGGTGAGTAACGCGTCATTGACAAATGAATCAGGTTTGAAACAAAAGCCTTTTAAATTTATTCAAGTGCATCTGTTTCTTTTTCCTCATCATCACAGTATGAATGAGAAAATTATTTATAAAACAGACAAATGTACAGGAATGGCATTTCTTCACAAAACTACTGTTGGCAGACGCATAAGCGTGCGCAGGGTTCCCCGTGACGGTGAGCGAAGGCTCGTGTCGCTGTGCCCTCCTCCATATTATGTAAATGCTTGGGGCTGACTTCGCACCACTCCTCATATGTGACTATATATACATATATATATATATATATATATATATATATATATATATATATATATATATATATATATATATATATATATATATATATATATATATATATATGTGTGTGTGTGTGTGTGTGTGTGTGTGTGTGTGTGTGTGGTGTGTGTGTGTGTGTGTGTGTGGTGTATATTACTCGGTAAGAATATTTTAAGCACCGCGACGAATTTGGTACACAAACTTATCTAGGAGATGTTGGCAGCCAACCATTACAAGGCATTAAAACACTCAAAACGTTTTAAAGCCACACTAATAGCTGTAGTAACCAGCCAGCAGTAACGAGCTTAGCGAAAGCTTGTATACGCGTCTTACAGTCTGGAAACCCGTCACAAACCAAGCAGCGGCCGCGTGGAACTCGAGCCGTTGGGCAACGCGCTCCCTGTGCTCGTTTGGCCCTCTGTCATATTCTACTACTGTGGCCATGATATATTATAGTTTTAAGATTCTCCTCGAGAAAATGGGTTAGATTTACGGTTACAGTGGTCGCTTTTGTTACCGGGACAATGTATTACTGAATACTGACAAATTGTACTCAGAAAACTCCAGTTTCCTTAACTCCCATGTCGTTCAATAAAAGAGGGGAAGATGAAGGCAATAGTTTTATGCTGAAGTTCGGCGCATTATTTTCAGGCACGGCGTTACAAATTTCAAAGCGTATTTTTGTATTTCAGCGTCATTGGTTCGGTGAAATTTTCTAAAACTTGGTATTTTAAGACTATGGCACTCTCAGCGGGCAATGTCGTTCATTTGTACCGATTCAGAACTACGAAAAACTTAGTGCAAGCTTTCAGAATTTATGAAGTCCTAGCAATTTGTCGGGTAATTTCGAGGCAGCATCACCGCCGACAGTTCTTTTTGAGTGTTTTCTGCCTTACCAAGTGTGTTTATTGTGCCAACACTACAATATAACTAAGACAAGCCATTGTGACAGACTCCAGAAAAACCCGAGGTTCTTTAACGTGCACCTAAATTGAAGCATACAGGAGTTCCTTATTTTTTTATTTTATCCTCATCAAAATCCAGCCACCATCACCGGAATCGTAGCCATGCTCTCGAGGTTCGCATTGGGACAATTATCTAAAAAAAAGCTCAATCAAGCAAGGAGAGAGAAACAATATGGTTTCATTTTATTCAAGTGCAATTCACGCGAAAGGCAGCCTTTTCTTAGCAATTATCCTTCCTTAGCAAAACTTTGATGCCAGACAGATGCCAAGATCCACATGCTTGAAACGACACGTGCTAGGTAAGCCCATGCCATAAAAACTTAGTAATGCAAAGCTTTAGCATTTCTCGCCATAATTATGAAAGTGTGTAACAAACAAAGTCATTATTGTTCAGATCAAGAAAGGCTAGACAATATTCAATGAAATACACTATATTTAATCTTGAAGCAAATTTTTGGTAGTGTGAGTGATTACCAACGAGCGTCTATCAAATGGTGAAACCAAAATGATACAACCAAAAGAAAGCTCCTGTCAAAATGGTTTATTTTGCACAAATTATTGAAAATCTTGCGCCAATCATAAAGCTTACAAACGATTTTTGAGCAGGAGCTTCGACTATTTTGGTTAACAACGCAAGCAGTCGTTTTGATAACTCCTACTTTTATCCGGTATCCGTACAAGTTTTGCATTGCACTTTTCTAGAAATAGTGTCAGTTTCTTTCACGTGGCCCTGCAAACGTAGGTTACAGCGTATAAAAACACAAGTAGTCAATATAAATTTTCTTTGCAATTTTATTCAGTGCAAACAAAAATAGCAGTATATTGCCCAATTTTCAAGAAGCTCTGCGGAAAACGTGATTGCGAAAACAACTGTAACAATTACAATTTTGAGACTGAAAGATTTGTTTTAACAATCTCCGAAGATTCCGTCTAAGTCCAATCGCGTTAGCAAAGCACATCGACGCTCGATGTCAAGTGTACATCAGCTGTCTAGCCGTGGATGCCGAGGCCACCACCTGAGACACCTCCCGCTGAACCGAAGCCACTCTGTCCGAAACCAGCCTGGTGGCCGCCTGCACCTCCCTGGAATCCAGAAGATCCCTGCTTGTTGCCAGTGCCGAAGGTCTTGCCGTCGCTGGAGGAGAAGCTGGAGGTGTGGCTATAACCCCGGTTGTCGTTGTAAGAGTTGACCTTGCTGCCAGCGGCACCACCAGCGAATCCAGTGGCTCCCAAGTTGTGCCCTCCGGCACCACCCTGGAATCCACCCTGGTGACCTCCGGCAGAGGAGCCGAAGCCTGATTGGAATCCCTGTCCGAAACCTTGGCCCAAACCACCACCCACGAGGCCAGGACCAACAATACCAGCACCGCCAAGACCCGCGCCTCCAAGGCCTCCGAGACCTCCAAGACCTCCAAGGCCTACACCACTGAGACCACTGCCCCCGAAGCCTGTGCCGAGACCAGTACCTAGACCTGTACCGTAGCCCACTCCGCCGAGGCCACCGAGCACTCCGCCACGCGCTTCGACATCTTTATTCTCATCTTTCTTGGCCACCTCTTCGGCAAAGGCGACACAAGCCATCAGAGCCACAAGGGTAGCCACGAAAAACTGCAAAAAGATTAGAGAAAGAAAAATATCACTCTACATATTTCGATGTGTTGCGAACTAACCTTCACAGACTAGTTTATTGGTTCACAATGATCGTGAAGGCTAAATAGGTACACTTCGTTGAATTTACTGTGGCCTACCTAAACATTACATACTGAGTGATTTCTCAACCCAGCTCACATTTACGAACAATGCTGGCTGGCTGAAAGTGCATATGTAAACATTCATATATCTCCTCGTATCAATTGTTTATATTTCAAATAGCATGATAAAATTAAAATCAAAGTGCTAGAGAGGTTCATAAAAAGCATGAGCGAGAGCCATCGACTTCTTTTATTGTATAACTACATTGTAAGTAGCGTATTTTTTTTGAAAATCATTATATAACCATTGCGTGCGTAAATAAGCTTCATATCAAGCTCTCGCTTTGAAACATCCAATAACTTTTTAAGCATTTGCAAAACAATGGTAATTTTTACATGGCATTCGTGATGAGCACAAATTGATTCGCACTACTGTTTGCCGTCTTATACGCTCCACACTTTAGGGTAACGTTTTTTTCTTTCACCGAGACATACATAAATATACCAATGTTTGTAGCTGCAACTTCACTAATCTTATAGCTTCGTTGCAGCTACAAGTACACAGTCAATTTCGGTAATTAGAAAGCAAAACATTAGGTTATTCAGTGAGCTTACCAAGCGCAAAGAAATAATGACTCACCTTCATGTCGAAAATTCAGGTGGACTTAGAAGCACTGAGCTAGGATAGAGGTTGGTTTGGCTGGATGGAGCTGTTGTTGTGTACCCCGATGGATGCTCGGCACCTTTATATACACAGTTTCAGAGGGCCAAGTTGCAACAACCAATGGCAAAAGACACGCTTGCAAGTTCCTGACGGGAAGGGGGCGCGGAGCATGCCGAAGCGGTTACCGCCGCGTCTTTTTTCCCCTCTCCAATTCAGTTCTAGTTTTCCATTCCGAGAAGCGTCCTCTTTCACACAGTTTATCGTCCTTCCGTCGAACTATCTTGGTTTGGCATCCAAAGAGGGGCCATGACGTCTTTTCACCTTGAAATATATTCCCGGCATTTTGGTTGTTTCTTGTTGTGACATCTCGAGCGGTTCGATTCCTCCACTCTGACCTCGTCAGTCAACTGTGTGGTGGTGTCATTTCGATACTGCAGTGCTATATAGCAGATAAAGCGTTGAGTGAAATAATGAAAGTGGAAAAACATACGAATAACATCCCTCCGATGCACGTAGGTAGTCGTCATGTTTTCTACAGCACAAGTTGACGGTTATTGCCACCTTTTTATTATTACTACTTTTTATTGAACTAAATAAAATAAATAAATGCAGTCTGAAAGAATTCTGAGTAACTAGGTGCTGTTGTCCGATGCATTTGTAATTGTTCGATATACACTAGTCATGGCTATGAAAATTCTATTTTTTGTTTAAAATTTGCCTGTGGGCTAGTTGGTTGGTCATACAAGTAGAAATTCAGCGCTTGTGTCGTCCTTTTCGTTTTTTTTCGTGTTTGTGTCTTAAGCCGGTGTGTCTTTCAGTTCATCGTGAACTAATCTTCTTATGTGATTTTTTTAAAACTCTTTTGTTATTACAACAGACACCAGAGTAAAGGGCTACACATGCTGACGAAGGATTTTGCTCTACAACACATTTCGGCGCATGACATCATACAAGTGCAAATGTAGCTTTCATAGATTAGTTGATCTATCAACTTTGTGAATGCTCTTGCTGGTATTATAAATACATCCTAAATACCTCTGTGATGTCAAAATAATCATTGCAATAGCATAGCATTAATACTAACGCGGATTCATAAGCTACATTATGGCATGAACATCCACGAGGGGCTCGTACAGTCAACGCAAAAAGATATTACCAGCGTGAAGCACCAAAAGCAAGCTGAATGTTTTGCTCAATAGTACGCCTTTGGAATCATTGTAGCGAGTTGCTATTTGTTGTTTTTGTGGATTTGATGTATAAAAAATATCAAAAAGTAAAGGTGCTTTCCACGCCAGTCTCTTGACGAAGATCCTATCTATAACAAAGCAGGTGGCCTGCTCTAAATAAAACAGTGTATGAGTGAGCCGTACTTCATTTATAGTGAAATAAATATTCGTGTAGTACATACCGCGTTCGTAATACAAGTTTTTTTTTATTCAGTTCCTGAAGCTTGAGCCAAGTAATAGATAAATTTCACAACTAAATGTTCGGACAGCGTTCACGTGTTCTAAAGAAAGAGTTTGAATAATGATATACATATGACTTTCTTCGCATTCGCTGTGAAACCATTTTATGGAATCAAGAACTTTTATAGCGTCGGTGACAAACTGCGAATCAAACTCAGCTGCACGTGTAACACATGTCGCAAATGTTCTCGTAGCAGTATCGAAATTCATATTGATCTCTTGCTTTCGTAATAGTTTCATTGAAAGCAACAAAAAAATTTATGAAGCTGAAAAAAGTTTGGACCTTTTATATACTGAAAGCGTAATGTATTTTAAAGCGTAATGCATTTCATATACTGAAAGCGTAACTCTAGATCAGTTTTCATTGGCCAGGACTCAGTAACGCGCACTTATAATGAATGTGCATAGATATTCTGGCATTCATTCGGTGAAATGTAGTCATCATGGCAAGATAAATGCACCCACATCCTTGTGGTTAGCAGCTTATTACCTCAGTCGCTAATCTACGAAGGTGGTTAGGTGGGTGTATATGCATGTAAGTTCAATTGGATAGTTTCAGTTTATGTACAATTTTTATTCCGTCATTTGATCATGCCTCTGTCCTGAATAAACTTATCGTCGAGGTTTTCGAAGAAACACTCTTACAGGTGGACCTTATCTTAAACAAAACACACATATTCAACACACCCATACCAAATAGAACATAGACTAATACTTTGTACATGAAAACTTCTGCCAAAATTTGGTTAGAGAAGTATACCCGCAATTTTTTCTCTGTTAATGCTATATCATATATCACAACTATGCATGCAAAACAAAAAAATGCATTTTTTCGTGCTGAGACTCCGACATAATTTTGTCGTAGTTTCATGTTTTACTATGTAGAGTGTTTCGTAATTCGTAGAAAGGGATTCCATATTATTACCGGTCAGCCGGGCCTATTTAGTGTGCCATAAAATGAAAATGACGATTAAGACTCTACGTTGGTTTCTTGGTTACGGTGCTCTATTCGGGATCAGCAGGTCATGGCATCTAAGCGATGACGGCTGAATTTTGATGAAAACAAAATGATAGAGGCCATGTGCTTAGATATAGGTCAAGGTAAATACTTCCAGATGGTAAAAATTTTCGAAGCCGTAAACTGCGGCATCTATCATAATCGCAATGAGGTTTTGGAACGTTGAACCTTAAGAAATATTGAAGTATAAAAATAAGGTTCACGAGCATTCTTCCATTTCGCATCAGTCTAAATGCAGCTACCACAGCCCGGATTCGCTTTACAGCCTCTTAACAGTGCAACGCTAAAGCGCCTAAGCATTCTAGTAGTCAGGAAGAGTGCCATACTGTAAAGTTTATCGCGTGATATTTTTTTCTAATTTTGAATCTATAGAGATAAGCAAATTTGGTCAACCGATATACAGTAGCGCTTACTAATAAAAAGTTTCGTGAATACGCCCGTGAAAAGAATGCCCTTTGCTGTTTCTGCGTAATATTATATTTAAAGCTTCGAGGGAAGATTCAACTAAACTTAACAATTTTAGCCTTTTTATATTACTATCTATTAACGTATTTTTCATGACCCTAATAAAATGCTAAAGGTAGCGCTTGCGTTTAACCGCATGGAAACTAAAATGAAGCGAAAAAAAAAATCTGCAGATCCTACCTACCTTGAAAATTGATGCTATGCGAAGCGTGTGGAGTAAAGTTGGTTAGTATTTTATTTTTTTACTAAAAAATACCTGCTTCACGAGGAAATTAATACAAGGCGGGAATACACGGCGTAACACATGCCGACATAAAAATAACAAATATTCAGAATCAAGATGAATACAAAAAGAGATTATAACAAAAATATAGCTATAAGGCTAGCAGTGTGATCTTAAAGGATGCTTCAGTGCGGCAGTCTAGTATCTCCCGTGGAAGCCGAATCCACTGGGAAATAGTGTGTGGAAAAAAGGTGTATTGATAAGTGTTTGTTCTGCAAAAACTTTCTCTTAATTTTAGACGGTGGCCAGTTCTCTTAGATAAAAAAATGGGGAGGTGAAGGGTAAGCTTATCTTTTTTTATCATTCCTTCAAATATTACTAATAACACTTCTAATCCGTTCTCTTTTTTTCGTTGAGCAAAACGTTAAGAAATGGTGCTAACGATAGGTAATTTAACTTTTACCTTTTAATGATAATTATCTTATTCAAGAGTCGGATCAGGCTGGGAGTTGCGTTAAAAGGCGTGATACTAAGGGGTAGAATGGGAGAATGTTACCAGGCGTCACACTTAGTGAGTTGCGTAAAGCATGACTAGTTGATAATAAAACATAAAACAACCACTGGAAAGACCAAACGCTGTGCATAGAAGAGGAAGCACACGGGCGGCAGTGTAGTTTCTGTTTTACGCACAGCATTCCCTTTGCTGATTGTTGCATATAATTTTTAATGATCAACGAGCTGGCCCTGCAGTCTGTGTTAGCTCAAAAATACCCCCTTAACATGGGGCTCATTCATAATTCATCCTCATGGTGATGATGATCATTATTATTATTGTCGTCTCATCATCAACAGTGTCAACTAAGTATCAAGTTGCGTAGGTGTGCGTAGTGCTTTAAGCGCATAGTAAGTAATTCGATACTTCGAGAAATAATGAACGCATAGGGTGCTCGATTGGGAAATTTTACAGCAGCATTTGTGAAGTGCACGAACGCTTTTTCTTATTTTTCATGGCACAATTGTGGTGTCTACCAAAGCGCAAAATATGCAAGAAGAACATGTAAAGACGATGCAAGGCGGACCAGTAGGTCAATCACTCTCTATTAAAGTTTAGAAAGCTTAAGTGTCGTATAAAATTTCGACCAGGAGTTAAAATCATAGTTCACTGTCCTCAGGTCAGCTAAATTTTTTAACACGAAAATGATTTATGTCCGGGTTCACCGTGGCTCTACTGACGTATTTTAGTAATTGATATCACGTTGTAAATCATGTACCAAAATTGCAAATTAAGAAACAAGCTGGAAAAGTTCCGCAGCGGGGCGACCTCGCACTCTTCAGCGTGTGACGCTAAGCACTATACCACAAAACGAACCTTTCCGAACGTAGCAGGTGAGCAATTAAGAAAAATTTCAGTTTTGTGCCATGTAGGACAAGTGCCCCACATCGGTATCGCTTCCAGTTCTGGTGTCATTTTTTATTGTTGTTTTTTGCTGTTAGTTGTCCTCTCCACACGTAGATGGCGACAGTGGCAAAGAGCCGCCGATTACTGGACCCACGGGCTTCTTATGGAATTTACGCTACCAGTTTACATATACCTTGCAGCGTGCTTTAAGTGTCCAGCTGCGAAAGTTGTTTGTCCGCGATGGTCCAGTGTACGCTAACTTTTTGCGTGCTTTCTGCTTGAGGTGTGCAATGCAAGTTTCTAGCTACTTGCCCTTCTTCACATGACATTGCGATTTTTCGCTGTCGAATTATTTCCTTCGCCCTTGTGGCGAAACAATGCACAATAAAGGCTCGACAACCTCTGCGAGTACAAGTTTCACTTTGGTGGTACACTGATAGCTAAACAGAGCGATTAGCTACGTTTTTTTAAGGCACCA